TACCACAGCATATATTACTATCATAATTCAATTCTCAACATTTGACAAACACAGCCCATTAAAGGGTTATTTTCAAATAAATTAATACTCTAGGATTTTAAAACAAATAAATTAATTATATAAAGACTTCCAAATGTGTTCTAATCAAAAGAAGCCTTCTATAGTACACGGGGGCTATAAGTTATGAAATGGGCCAACTGGCCCATCGATTTTCTAGTTTTAATATGAAAACCGGCCTATCTAAGTGCACATATACAGTCCAGCTCAGAAAATGATATGGGCCAGCAACTTTGACGGTTTTGGGCGTTCCAAATTGGCCATGCCTAAAAGAACAATGTATTCTGAAAAAAGTTGACGATGAAGAGGCAATCTTGTAAAGATTTTTTTACTGCAAATTACGCAGCAAATAACAAACATAACCCTCCGTCCCAAAAAAATAAACCCAATACTACCTACGAGCCTGGACACATGTGTGTCTAGGTTTATTGCTAGGAGTTGTCTTTTTTGGGACAGAGTAATATAGAGTAGCCGAATTCCCTTTCTTTAAGCTTGTAATTTTAATTAATTCCGTACGATTTTGCATTTATACTCCTGCTCACTGTCATTGTAACATCCCGATTTTTTCTCCCGTTTAAAATCTTATTTTAAATACAAAATTATTTTCAAAATTTGGTTCTTATTTGAATTTTGGTTGTGCCATTAAAGATCTCAAAATCCAATGGTCTGAATTCCTATCTACCAACAAATTCCTAAACCTCTTATTAGAGTCCAACGTCCCTTTACAATCTTTGAACACAAATTTCACTCCAATTCCACATACAAAGTCTCCACAAAATTATAGTCCCAAAGTCCATTTACAATTCCATCAAATACTCTCCAAAAGTCCATCTCTGAAATTCCCCAGAAAAATTGAGAAAGATCCCTATTCCTTTGGACCACCTTTCCTTTCCCATAGCCCAACTCCCTCTCCTCTGTCATTTTCCTCCCTGGGCCAGCCCCTTCCCTCACTCGGTCCGGCCCACCCCCTCTCCCCTTGAAGTCTGTTTCCCATCCTTTCTTCCCCAGCCAGCCGGTTGAACGTGCCCGCCACCTGCTCGACGAAATGTCGAGCCGGGCGAGCAGCATGCCGAGCCGCCCCACACCCTCCGCACAGTCCCGTGTGCCGCCCCGATCTGTGCCGCACTGCTCTGCTCCACACTACGACGAAATCCGGGCGCGTTCCCTCCTCCTTGCCGTAGAAGCTTCCGCCCACAGTGGCAAACGTTGTCGACGCCGTCCTTCGCGCCATGGCAACGCCGCTGCTCCCAGCCCACCGCGTTGCCTTCTCGCGCTCGAGCTCCCGCAGCCGTGCGTCCACGCAGAAAGCATGCGCCGGGCTCATGCTCCTCCGCGTCGCTGCCGCCCTGTGCCGATGTCAACATCCGGCCCCACATCGGCGCCGCCCGTTCCGTCTGTGGCTGACGCGTGCCCAGGAGAAGCCGAGTGACCGACGGTCACTACGCCGCCTCCCTGGCCGTCGCTCGCTCATGCACCGCTGCTCCGGGTTCACCACCCTCGCGTGCTCGCTCTCCACCGCCCACAGTCGTGCGTCCAAGCCGAACGCCAACGCCGCGTCCACGCCGCCCAGACCACCGCCACCTCGCTCCTCCTCATCCACCTCTCGCACCATGGCCGCTGCCAGTGCACCCCGTCCACTGAGCCAATCGACGCGCTAGGCGAGCTCGTGTCTCTCGTCCACACCGAAGGTGAGATCCGAGTTCACGCCGCCGCGTCGGCGTCGCCGTCCTTGCACCACCGTCGCCATCCTTGCCTCGTCAACGCCGCTGCTCCTTGTCCATAGCATCGCGCCCTCGCTCTCCATCCCCCGCAGCCGCGTGTTCACGCCGCCCACGTGAGCCGAGCTCACGCCGCTGCGTCGCCTCTGCCATCGCCATTGTGCCGCCACAGTGCCGCCTCAGCCTTCCTTACCCTGGAAGCTTGGCTCCTCCCTTCTCCTCGAAGCCAAGCTTTGCATTAGCTACAGATCCGCCTCACACCACCATCCGCCAACTTTCGCCATTCCCATCGCCATCACCGCCTCTGTGCCATCCCTCCCCGAGCCAGCTCGCCTCCATCCCTATCGCCGCCGTCGAGCAGGATGCCTCCGCGCACGGCCGGGCCGACCACGCGCGAGCATAGCCGCCCCGGCCGCGACCTCCTCACACCGGCTCCTCCGCGCCGCCGCGTGGCCACCTCCTTCAATCGGGCGTCACCCGCCGGCCTCGCCTCTACTCCTCCCCACGCCACCTCTACTCCGCCGCCTCCTCCGTCGCGGCGCCTGCCGATATCGCCGCGCCGACCGCCTTCATGAGGCGCCCTCCGCCTCGGTCGCGCCGCCCGCGCCGAGTGCCCTTCGGCCGACGCGACGCGCTGCCTCCGGACCTGCGCACGACCGCGCCGCCGGGTCCGACGGCCGTCCGCGCGTCGTCCCGCGCCCGGTCGTCAACCAGCCCGAGCCGCCGGCGCCGCACCGTCCCGTCGCCGGTCACCGAACCAGGCCACGAGCATCGCCGCCCCGGTTCGTCCGCCTCGCCCTCCTCCGCTCGTGCGCGCGGCGCGTGCGTGAAGAAGAAAGAGGAACGAGAAGAGGAGATCGAGGAGGAGATGGGGAAAAGAAGAGAGACACTGTCAGGTGGGACCCTGTTCCCTTAATTACTCTTGCACAGTAATCATCCTCTTAATCCTGCCTTATTATCTCATTGACAATTGGGCCCGGTTGCCCCAAATCCTTGATTAAATCTCCCTTAATCCCACGGTTACTAATCAAGCCACGTGCAGTAATCTCTCTTTAATCCTTCCCTGTTGTATCACTTACATGTCGGCCCATTTATACTTAATCTCTAATCAAACTTCCTTTTAATCGTCGGGTCACTTACTTGTGGGACCCACCTTTCCCTTCCAACCGTGCACCCGGTCCGCTGTTCGATGTCGCCGACGTGTGGGCCCGGTTGCCGGTCTCCTACCCGCGTGGACCTTGTCCACCCATCGCTCTCCGTCGATCCACACACCCGGTCCACGTGCGCCGAGTTACTGACCATTGGGCCCCGCGCGTACTGACTGTGGTCCATGAGCCCGGTCCGCCACCTCAGCGCGCCGCGCGCTCGGTAGACTTGGTCCACCGTGCGCCATCTCCTCCTTTCCACTGACAGTGGGCCCCGAAGAATATTCCATCCGAATATTCCTTTCCAATTAAAGAAACTCCATTTCCTTTGCTCCAAATATTCCTTTGATCTTTGAAAATTCATATCTCTTCAACCGTAAGTCCGATTGACTTTGTTCAACTTCCACATTTTTTCTAAAATTGAGATCTATCCAATGGCACTATTAGTTATAATAGTTTATATCTAGTTTATAGGGTTTTGGATGATTTTCTCTTTTGGAGTGTGTAGCGAATGTTCCAGAGATTCGACAGACGCGGATTTTTCTCGAAGATTTGAAGACCAACAACTAAGGCAAGCCACTCTTCAATCATATTGCTCCTAGTTTATAAAATGTGTTGATTGCAAATTGCATGATTAGTATACACGTTTTTATAATCGGCCTCGGTCTACCGTTAAACTTGATCCTTGTCGCCTCACCAAGGTGTTACTCGGGAAACTACGCTCCTTGAGCGTAGGTGCCCACCAACACTACAACCACTATTATATTGTCAATATGGGAAAATTGGGTTGTGAAAGTATTGAGAAAAACCCGACTCATGGAGTCGGTGGGTTTGAAAAGGAAAATATAGTTGTGAAAGCTCGCGATGCGGAATCTCGCTTGAGTGGCTTGTTGTCGTATTCGCATGTAAAGACCGATTCCTTTGGGAATTCCATCCAAGCATCTTACACTGTGACCATACGGGTATTGTGGGATACCCCTAGAAAAATATTTAGTTATTCCATGATTATCTTGTATGCTAGTAGTAGTGGGACACTGGGGATGAGGAGACAAAGTTGTGTGTGTTTGATCAGATCTTTGGCCATGAGTGGCCCCGCCGCTATTGTGGCGATACGGTACAGATAGGCGTAGAAGCATCCCTAGTGTACCTTGAGTAGACGTGGGCTGAGACTGCCTGATGCTTGTCGTAAGACTCGGCCTACTATGTGGCATAGGATTTTTAATGGACTAGCTTTGGAAAGGCCTTGCAACGAACTTCCGGTATCGGCCAGTACCGGTGTAAGTTTCGTGTCGTGTGGGTAAAGCGTGCAACCTCTGTAGAGTTTAACTAAACTATTCGGACAGCTGTGCCCACGGTCAAGGGCGAATGTGAGGTGATTCTCTTAGCGTAGATTTGTTTGCCTGTGCTTTTGTGGAATATTGCTGTAGGATGGGAATCGTTACCAGAGTCGGTCTGTGTGGCTGACGGATGACCTGAGTGGTTTTGAAATGGGCCTATGTGACTTGGGATGTCGAGATAGCATCATAGAGTAGGCTTCCCGAGAGGAAGCAGAGTGTCATAGGTGTTGGATAGCTTAGAGCAGCCAAGATGGGATGGGACGAGAGGTCCCTGACCTGAGGCGAAGTTTGAGATATCTGATGGAGATATACAATTGGAGAAAGTGAGAAGAAACTAATAAAGGAAAATAGAGTAAAGTGAATCAAACTAAAATTTTGCCTCTTCCGCTTGAGTTGTTGCAAAGCAACTCGTGGTAGGATCGAGAAGGTAAGTCTCTTTTCAAATGTTTTATAAGAAACCGCACTAGAGTTTTCTAAAAATGTTGTTAAAATAAATGGTTTGCCAAATGAACCTAACCTTCCGTTGAGGCTTGCATTTACATATTTCCCCGTGGCTTGCTGAGTACGAAAGTACTCAATCCCCCATTGTTGTTGTTTTTAGTTCAGGTTGAAGATGGCGAAGGCTATGGTTTCGTCCCTAGACCCAAGCCACTGCTCGTGGATTGGAAGCCCTAACTACGCTATTTTCTGCTGCTGCTTTTTGATTGAAGGTTGCATCTCAGCGATTACCCGAAGGTGCCACATAAAGGTATAATTTATTATTCGTGTTGCTATGATTCATCACCTTACCGCAGGTACCAGCATCTGTATCCTGGGACTGGTACCGACAGACGCGGTTCCGCAGGAGACGGTTCGCTATTCCCGTGTGGCACACCCCCCTTGGCGCCGTACCGTACGGCGGTGCCAGGGCGGGGTGTGACAATCATGCTTCAAGAATCAGCCTGTCCTGTCCTGTCTATGAATCCCGTAATTCTATCTTCGTTTTCTGCTAATACTAACATTTACATTTACATACATTCATCTATATCGTACAATCCGTGTAAGCTACAAACGGGGTCGGCACTATCACGTACGGCGATCGTGGCGCGCATGCAGTTCAAGTAAACAATGTCATGTCCGGCGTCATCACGGCTCTCCGGCCATGAGGCAGTCCACCGGTGGCACGACCGGGCGCACCTCGTCGCCGTACGCCTTCCAGCAGAATGGCCCGTAGAGGCGGCCGTAGCCGCCCTCCTTCACCGGCGCGAGCTTGATGTCCTCGAGGCGCAGCCCGGCGCACGGCGCCGCGTCGCTGCACGCCAGATACACGGGCCGCTGCGTGTACGTCCCCGTGATGCCGCTGTACGCCACGCCGGACACGGCCACCGCCGCCGTCTGGTTGGCGCACGTCGCGTGGTCGCAGTAGTACTGGTCGATCACGATCGGCGTCTTCACCGCCGACACGCGCACGCCGGAGAACAGCACGCCCCTCACCGACCCGGACCCGCCCTGCCACGTCTTGATCCTCACCCCCGCCGACGTCCCCACCAGGGACACGTCCTGCACGGTCACGTCCGACACGACGGCCATGGCGCCGCCCTTGCCGAGCCCGCCGATGCTGATGCCGTGGCCCGGGCCGCAGGTGACGCCGCGGACGAGCACGCGCGAGCAGCCGTCCTGGATGGAGACGCAGTCGTCGCCGCACGCCACGGTGGCGTTCTGGATGGAGACGCCGACGGAGCCGGCGAGGTGGATGCCGTCCGTGTTTGGGCTGTCGCCCGGCGATCGGATGGCGACGCCGCGCACCTCGACGGCGCGGCAGGTGTCGAAGGTGAGGTGGAACCTGGCGCTGTTCTGTATGGTTATCCCTGTCACCGCCACGTTCGTGCTCTCGTACACCCTCAAAGCCTTTTTTGTACAAACAACAAATTAAAATACACATAATTATCAATAATCACTGATAACATGTCGTTAGTACTAATCACTAAAGGAAGAATTGTTCTTACTGTTGGCCTGTTGTTTGTCCCGACGCGATCTGCGTCGATGTCCTGTAGAAATAGACAACAACGATCAAAATTTCCAATGTTTGTGGGCGCACACATACTTATATGTAGGTCCATCATTTTTTATTTGTTTGCCATGGAAGGATCCTTACCGTCGCCGGTGCGCCGCCGCTCCACCAGTGGCTGCCTTGGCCGTCGACGGTGCCGGAGCCCTGGATGGTGAGCCCGGTGCAGCTCCTGAACTCGAGCCACTGCTGCACTGCGTTCCCGGAGCACCACGCACCCGAGTCCGTGTTGGCCACGATCGTTCCGTCCAGCTGAAAGATAGGGGGACTAAAATTTAAGACAATTTTTTTTTTGAAATTTCAGTCTTAAATTGTCGGATGTCTCCTGGACAAAATGGCGAGGACTGCTTTACATAGCCAACAAATACGAGTTCTCAAACCCCAAGTCATCACACGTGCAAGCATTTGTATCTTGTTACAAGCTCTTTGGCGTTGGTACGCACTACCAAAGAAACGTGCCGTCCAGTTCTGCTTGACGAGTGGTACACGCAACACATACATATATCGATCGAAACTCACCTGAAAGACGGTGTTGGGTTGGCAAGAGTCGCCGGTGAACGTGACCGGGCCGACGACGAACCGATAGCCCGCCGGCACCACCACCGTCGACGACCTCACGGCGCACGCCGCCGACCACGCGTGGACGAACGCCTAGAAAACAGCACACACAAGTACATCACCAACCATGAATTTACACATGACAATTAACGTATGTAGAATCAATCGTGAGTGTATGTGCGTGTGTCTGCACTCTGCACTTGCCTTTGTATCGTCCTTGTCGCCGTCGCCGACGGCGCCGTACTGCAACACGCTGAAGGTGGTCGCCGGCGGCGATGGCGGCGAAACAGGTCTTGGTGGGCCGTGGCGGCCGGCGGGCGGTCGACGGTGATGGGAGTCTGTCGTCGCGAGGCAACGGCCGGAGAGGAAGGAGGAGGTGACAACAAGAACGAGGAGGAAGGGGAAGCTGCCGGCGGTAGAGGCGTTTAGGCTTCTTGGCCTTCTCATCATCGATCTCCTTGATTCTAGCTACTAATGTGATTGATCTCGTTGTAATGGCAAGTTAATTACTACTACTAACCACACTACCAGGAGTGCCTATTAGTTTGCATGCGTGATCAGTCATAAATATATGGGTACATATATATATATATGTATTCACTGATGGATCGATCGATCGATGCATGATAGGAAATGGGGATTGATTGCAAGGAATCAATTGCCAAGCCGGGTAGCTTTTGTTAATTGCACTGGGAATGAAATAATCCACTAGTGTTAACTAGTAGTGCTAGTAGTTGCTGTACAGGATTATAGACTTAACTGATATCCTGCTTTTGTTTGTATATGGAATTATGAATGCATGACGCTTGAGGAGGAGCTCGTGACCTTGCTGATTTAGACGGCTAAGATGTACGTGTAATCAAGATCAACCCATGTTTGTGACTATATGACAAGTTCGAAGCTGCAAATAACCAACACACCTTTCATTTGTTCTTGGAAGAGACCGACCGATTAACTAGTTTCGTTGCACGCTTCAAGAGGCTACTATACGGGATTGTGATATTGCTGGCTAGCCAGGCCAAACTACTTGTGAACTCCAAGGTTTCCCAGATTCTTCTAGACTAGTATGCTTGTTCAGTGTTCAAATAGTTTACATTGCACAATCGTAGCGAAAGTAAACTGAGTTTGTATTGCACAGGTCTTTAAATTTAAGATGATGTTGAATATTTTTTTAGCATTTGTGTATTTTTTTTTATGGGAGAAAAGAAGCTGCTAACGTACCTCATCATGTGGCAATGTATAAAAGTTTTTAGATTTTATATAATGAGTAAAATGTTCTGGTAGTATTACAACTTGCGAGATTCAATTTTTGTCTTGTAAAATGCTTAAACAAGTCACTTATTTTGTTTTGGCAGTACAAATCACATAAAACATGTGTGGGGGTGTTCGCAATAAAGTTGGATGCCACGTTGATTTCTTTCGCAACATGGTCACACGTGATTCATAAACAAGCCAACATGTAATTTTACCGGTAGTAAAATCTAATAGAAGATGAATTTAAAATCCTCATCAGAATCAGATCACGAGTACTTAAGATTCTTAGGAAGGAGTTAATACTTAAAAGATCAATGGCCTGAAGTGTTAGGTCCGGATTATACGGAAGGGTTTTTGGCGGCGCCCGGGCGATCAGGTGGCGCCGGCCATTATCTCCAGCGGGAGATGTGTTTGGATGGAGGGTTTTTTTGGCAACTTTTTGATAAGTCGACAAGCACGATCGCAACACCTAAACGCCTTGCGGTGATATGGAGTCGCTAACCACCTCGATCTAGCCAAAGGGCCAAATCAAGATGGGTTTTGCAAAAAGAAAAGCTAAACCGGCTAGCGGAGCCGATTTAGAGATCAAAATCAGCCTCTAGGCCGATTAGATCAATATGAGGATAACTACCCGTCTTGTGGGCAAAACGGAAGGTTTTCAGGACAAACCTACAAAGAGGTGTCGCACTCTCGCAGCGGCGGCGGACGGTTTACGGCGCAAACCGACAAAGATGGACTAAACTAGGGTAAAATAGAAAACATAGTAAAAGAACGATTCAAGTATATTGTATTCGGGGGTTTTACAATGAACCGGCCTTGTCCCTTAAATAGGGGATGGTCTTGCCCTCTACAGGCCCTTCTCCACGTCCAACTCGGGATAGAAACCAAAGGAAACACGAAACATGTCTTCCCGAGCAAGGAAACCCGGGACCCGACGAAAACAGACTCGGACTTGGACCCTGACGGTCTGACCGCCCACATACCTGTGGTCAAACCGGCCCTACTAGCCGGTCAGACCGCCCACACACCTGTGGTCTGACCGGCCCTATGAAGAAAACCCGTCACTTTCCAAACTTTGGCAATTTTCCCCTATTTCGTCCATAGGTGCCAAATTTAGGTGTAAACAGGTTTCTCCGATCCAGTGTGGAATTTTGCAGGGATGCCGCCTGCTCATCCAGTTTACGATCTCTGGGATATCTCTGCTTCCCGTGGCTGTTATATTCCTGGTTTTGTCTCGGTTTCCAATGGTTATGGGATAATTCAGGCTGCCTTGGGTATTGATGCTGATCCTTTTGGCATGTTCTCCATTTTGGTCGGTTTTGATCTTGGCTTTCTTATGTGGTTTGTTATTCAGATCAGTTTTGGTTATTTGAGTGGAGATAAAGGCTGTTTTGGTCAGGGACAGTTTCCTTGGCTGCTTTTCGTCTCGGATCAGGACGCCTTGCTTCCGATATATAAAATCAGATCGTTAGGGAGCCCAGGGGCTCATACCCTCCCCTCTTGGAAAACAAAATTGGTTTGCAATCTAGGGTTTCCACGCCAACTACATGTGATCCTTCCCATGGCTGATACCGGCGGTGGGGGCGAAAAAGGGACCATCGGTGAGAAGGTTACCCGCCCGAAGCCGCTCGATGTCGTCTTGGTTGATCAACAGCTTGCTTTGGCTGGAGGCTCTGGTTTGGCAGATGCATCACGTGAAGAGGATTTCCGTCAGAAACCAGTAGAATCTCAGGGTGGTTCCAAGTCTTTACAAGGTCCTGCTGCGTTTACAGAAGGTCCAGTTGATGAGGAGGATGATGACGCTGTTGAAGTGATCCTGGAAGAGGAAGAAGTGCAGAAGGCAGGGCAATTGACTGTTTTAGCCAGATTCTACTCGATGAGGTTTCCTAATCCTGTTGCTCTGTTTGAAGACATGAGAAGGGCTTGGAGACTTCGGGCAGAGATGAGCTACAAGTCACTAAAGGACAATCTGTTTATCATCACTTTCTCTAATGAAGGGGATTATCTGTTTGTGCTCCAAGGGGGGCCCTGGCTGCATCGTGGTGATGCGATTTTGGTCGCTGAGTTTGACGGTTTAACCAATCCATCAATGGTGCCATTGGATACTGTACCCATCTGGGTACGTGTTTATGACCTTCCCCTAGTTATGATGAACAAGGCTAGAGGTGATTTGTATGGAAGTAAGATCGGGAAGGTCCGAGAGGTTGATGTTGATGCGTTCGGGAGTAACAGACATGACTTCTTTCGTATCCGAGTTGATTTACCAGTCAACAAGCCCCTAAAAACAAAGTTGGATATTAAAATCAAGATTAATGGGAAGGAAGAGACACGCAAGTTCAATGTGAGATATGAGAGGGTCCCTCATTTTTGCTTCTCTTGTGGGTTTATTGGCCACTCTGACAAGGAATGTGCAAAGCAGGTGTCGAACGAGGATGTGCCTTTCCCCTTCTCAGCTGACCTTCGTTGTTCGCCTCTAAAACCTTTTGAGAGGAAGGTGAGCAGGGTCAAAGCATTGCAGAATATGGGGGTATCGAGGAAGCTGGTTTTCAGAGGGGCTGGCAGTGCAAGCTCTTCTTCAAAAGGGCACAAGGTTGAAAGCGTTCATGCTACAGATCTCCCTTCGCGAGTTGATGCATTTGATGTCTTTGATCATAGGGAAGGGAAGGGTGATGAAAGAGTAGATGATCTTCTTGCCAGCCAGACTAATTTGATGCATGTGTCGGACATGAATAGCTTGGGGCAGTGCCAACAGAAGGAAGGGATGCAGCTTAAGAAGGTTCAGGCTGGTGCACTGGTGAAAGGAATTGCTAGCAAGGAACCGGCGTCTCAGACTTCAAGTGAGATGATCCCGGCGATTCTTTTTTGAATACTCAGCAGGATTCAATTGAGGAGAGCTCCATGGAAGATACATGCAGTCCAATCAAGAGAAAGAACCTGGACAGTTCATCTGTCAGAAGGGTGGGCAAGGTGCAACAGGCGCTGTTGCAGTACGAGCAGCACGGGGGAAACCAAGATCTGGAGCAGAAAAAGGTAGGGGACTCGACAAGGGCACTGAAGCGCTCTAGGAAGGAGGCGGGAAGAGGGACCGAGAAGGATGACATGGAAGCAACCAACCCAGGGGCTGCTGGTAAACTGGTGGGGCCCGTGTTAGGGTTCCACCAGGAGCAATAAGTTGCCTAGCCTGGAACTGTCGCGAGGCTGGGAACGCCACGACAGTTCGTGACTTATGTGCCTTGGTTAAAGAGACAAGTTCCCAGATCGTGTTTTTGTGTGAAACTAGACAGAAGGTGGACAAGTTGAGTCGTCTTTGTAAAAGGTTGGGTCTTAGAGGTTGTGCGGGTATTGATAGTGATGGTTTGAGTGGGGGTCTGGCTTTGTTTTGGCATGAGTCTGTTTCTATTGATATTAAAGATATGAATGAGAGATATATTGATGCGTATGTCTGTCTCTCTCCGGATGATCCTCTTTGGCATGTTACTTTTGTGTATGGAGAGCCACGGGTGGAGAATAGGCACCGTATGTGGAGCATGTTAAATACAATAAGGCAATCCTCCAACTTGCCGTGGTTGGTCATGGGTGATTTCAATGAAGCTCTTTGGCAATTTGAACATTTCTCCAAAAAGCAAAGAAGTGAGCCAAATGCAAGCCTTTCGTAATGCTTTACAAATCTGTGAACTGCAAGATCTTGGTTTTAAAGGGCTCCCCCATACGTATGATAACTGTAGAGATGGTTGGAGTAATGTGAAAGTGAGGTTGGATCTTGCAGTAGCAAACGATAGGTGGAGGGACATATTCACAGCAGCACAGGTGGTCCACATGGTGTCGCCTTGCTCGGACCACTGTCCAATTCTCCTGAATTTTCAGGTAAAGGAGAACCTTCAGGTTAGTAGAAAATGTCTGCATTATGAAATCATCTGGGAAAGAGAACCAGAGATTAGCCAAATTGTTGAGGAGGCCTGGTCTATTGCGGGTGGCAAAGGTGATCTAGGGGAAGTGAGTACTGCACTAGCTAAGGTCATGTCTTCCTTGAAATCATGGAGTAATAGGAAAGTTAAGAATGTGGGCAGATAAATTGAGAAAGCTAGAAGAAGCTCGCTGAGCTCCAAGCGACTAATGCTGACAGTTTGCTTATTCGTAAGGCTACTGATCATATGAATGAGCTGCTATATAGAGAAGAAATGTTGTGGTTACAAGGATCTAGAGTTAACTGGCTTAAGGAGGGTGATCGGAATACTCGATTCTTCCACAGCCGAGCTGTCTGGAGAGCAAAAAAGAACCGTATTTCCAAGTTGAGGGATAGTGATGGAACTGTTCATAACACGA